CAGAACATTATCAGTAGCAAGGATCTGGGGCCCGGGTCTCGCCCTGTGCCCCCTAAGCCCCTCTGGGGCTCCCGGAGGCAGGAAGCCCCACCGCCCCCGCCGTCCCGGCCGCCCCGGGATGGGCTGGCCCCGGGAGCTCTCCTGCGGAACGCGGGCGCCCGCAGAGCCGGGACGTGGCTCGGCGGCGCCCCCTTTCGGCGGCGCCGAGCTACCGTAGCTGACGCTGGCGGGAGCCACGGACGCCTGGGTGACGGGGCCGCTCCTCAGCGCCGCTCCGCTCCTCAGCCCTGCGCCGCCTAGGTCGCTCGCGGTCGGGCGTCTGAGGAATCAGTTTAGGGGGTTCGCGTTTCTCGAAGCGCAGCATTGTTTCCCGTAATTTAATTTTCTCCCCCTAAAGCGTTGCTACTTAAATCCTTTCTCTGGCAGGCCGTCGCATCCCCTCCCCTGCTCATGCTTATATTACCCAGCACGTGCCGGGATCCGCGGCCCAGCCGCCGCCGGGCGCGCACAGGTGGACGGCTGCCTGTTCCCGCGCGCCGCCGGCGGCGCCTCCCAGGCGTCCCTCCTCGGCCTCCAGGTTCTCGCTGCCACCGCGATCCTGCCCGCAGGCTGCCTAAATTTAGGTGGGGCCCAGCTGTGGTGACCTCTGCGGGCTTGGAATCCGGTCAAAATTCAAATCCGCATGGTGGCACCTCCCGTCTTTCCATTTCTGACGTAGCCCTCACTGCCTCTTAAGCACTATGCCTGCCCTCCCTTCCTCTGGCTCCAGCGCAATGGCCAGGCAGGGTTGGGAGGTCACGCGGCACCACTGATGCCTAGCTGTGAGGAGAACTCAGCTTAGATCCCAGGGATCACGGAATCAGAAGCTCCAGCCTTCAACGGGGCAGGGGAGGCGTGTGGGTAGCTCTGTTGTGTTGTGTGGTGGAGTGGGGTCTGTGGCAACGTAGAATGAGGCTTTCCCCTTTGAGGGTGGTTCAAACAAAGTGCTCTACTGAGAACCACGAGTGTCCACGAGGCCCGTGTCCCAGAATGCTGGCGACTTCCCAGGGTCACACAGCAGCAGAACCACCGGGCAGCGCCCCTTCTAGGATGCATCTTACTGAATGGGGACTTTCCTGCTGTCCTGCCCTATCAGGGCCTAGTTCCTGCCCTCTGGCCTGCCGGACCCCTACTGCAGAGAGTCATCCAGACTGACACCCCTCCCACCATTTGCAGGACCCCTTCCCCTCAGCGGGCCTCCTGATTTGGATGCTGCTCTCCCCCGCCCCCCTCCTCTCTCCAAAATCACCAATTCAGACCACTTCTAGCCCAACTCTCAGCTAGCTGTCAGGCAGAAAAAGGCCTCTCAAGCAAATCCCTCTCAGAACTTGAAAGGAGGAGTTGGGGGGGGGGGCGGAGGTGGAATGCTATTTTTAAGGAGATATTAATGGTGGGGAGTTCAGGCATCGCAAGAAAGGGGGTGTGTGGGGACAGGCACTCTGGAAGGTGCATAGACAGAATGCCTCCCCTGGGCGACCTCTCAGCACCAGCTCTCCCCTCTGGGCCAGGGCCTTGCTCTCTCCCTGCAGAACTTTGCTTGGACACTATCATTCAGTGGAAGGACTTCAGCCTGTGAGGCCAGTGATGTCAGCTTCCTAGACACCCAAGGGGCCCCTTCAGAGCCTGTTATTCCCCAGATGCTGTAAAGGAGCTTTGGCAGATGTTTTTCCCTTAGAGCCCACTCTATAGGGTCTCTGATGCCTTCCCCTGGTTGGGGGTGTGGGGGGGGGGGTTGGGAGTGAATATGTACTTAGCTGTACTCAGCCTCTGGCAGTGTCTGGTCCCTTCTGCAGGCACCCAGACACTGCTGGGGAGGGCAGCAACCCAAAATAGCTCAGGGCTCTGCCTCTGGCTAGGGTTGTCCTTGAGCCTTGAGGCAGGGTCAACAGCCTGAACTGTCCTCCATGAAAAAGATGTTTCATCCAGTTCAATGTGCCCATAGTCATCCGTCGCAAGGACTGGCCTCTCGTGGGCCTGTGGCCCTGAGCAGCTGGCAGTGAGTTCAGCAGGAAGGGGAGAGGGGGTAGCACCAGGCCTGCTGGAGGACTCAAGGTCCAGAGGGAGCCAGGGCACCTGGGGGCCAACTGCATGGAGTGGCAGGACAGCTGTGTTCTCAGAGAAGGAGGCTGGCTAAGGTCTGCTGGGACCCAAGGTCTGGTTCCCACCTTCAAGTACAGTGGGGGTGGGAGTGGGCTCAGATCTCAGATTGTCCTCTTCCTGAAGTTCCTTTGGTTCCCTATCCCTACCAGGTAGCTGATGTGAGTTCGGGGTCCTTGGGTTCACTCTGGGAAAGTTTTCGCCAGAGCTCCCCTTTGAGCGGCACGCGGCGAGATTCTCCACGAGGCAGAGACTCAGTTATGTTAAACAGTAAGTTTATTAGAAAGAGACAGGCGAGAAAAGACACTTGCATAGGCACAAGCGGGCAGAAAGAGCTGCCCAGAAAGGGACAAGTTTGCAGAGAGAGACCTGCATGGTTGCAGGCGGGTGGTCTTAGGAGAGCGGCCTCCCCTGAGGGAGGCCAGTGCAGAGAAGCCCTGGCATGGCACAGTCACGGGCAGGCAGGAGGCTGCTGCCCTGCAGAGGGAGAGAGTGGGTGGGAAGGACACCTGCATAGGCACAGGTGGGCAGAGGAGAGGCTACCCCGAGCTGGTGGAGAGATGCCCTGATACAGACAGCCTCTCCCTGGGAGGGGTTCACTCCCTGTGAGCCTAGGTTGGTTGACTTTGAATGGAATCTGAAGAGATTTCTGGTGACCTTCATCTCCATGTCCTATCTTTCACCTTTTGGATTTGAGCTTCAGAAACAGCCCCCAACAGTCTGTTACTGCTGGGACCTCCTGCAGATATTCAGGCATCCCGGGGACATCTCCCTGCACGGGTTGACCTTGATGTTACAGTTGTGTCAGTTGCTGCACTGGCCCCTTACCCATCCCCTTTGTGTGACTCAGTCTTGTGAAGCCCCCCCTGCATTCCTTCCTCCATCATTGCCATTCATATTTTTGCCTAATCTGACAAAGGCAGTAGAATCTACCGAAGCAAAGGGCCCACTTATGGATGGGAATACTGAGGCACCAGGAGCTACGTGGCTCATCCTCTCTGACACTGGATGTGAAAGCCAAGTGAACTGCGACCTACCTATTGCCACAGGCAGATGATTTGGGGTATCAGAGAGCTGTGCTGAACCTTTTCCTCCATGCAAGGTTGCAGACTGGTGGTTGGTGATACCTACCGCCCACTGCCAGCCGATGGGCTGGTGACAGAGGAGAGGGTTTGGGGTAGTCCTTAGTCCCAGGGTCATAAGGGAACCTCTGTACTTCCCATCCAGTGCTCTGGATGTCCCATGCTTAGCATTGATCTGGTCATCTGGTCTCAGCCTTCAGGGTTATCTCGAGGCTCTCCCCAGAATCCCTCTCTCCAGTCAGCCTCTACTTCCCAAGTGGCGCTCATACTATCCCATCGCTTCCCTCTCAGCCACTAGTCCCACTCAGCCCTGATACATTACACTCAGACCCCAGCAAATGCCCCTTTACCAGGCCCCTCCTTCTAGTCTAATGCCAAGGCTCCCCTTTTGGAAACTGAGCTCCAATCATGGAGCTCCCTTGCTCAAAACCTTCAAAAGACTCCTGTGATGTCAAATTCCCTGCAGGTTGCTTAGCTTGGCATTCAAGGTCCCCTCTGCTCAAGACCCAACTCTTAAGCTGAGCGCCTCAGCTTCGCTGTGGCATCCTCTGTGCTTCCTGCTCCACCAGCACTGTTCCCCCACCTGGAAACGCCTCCCTATCCATCTCCTCCTGCTGAGATGTCATCTATCCTTCCAGGTCCTGTGTAAACAGAAGCTCCTTGGTCTCCATAGCCAGTCACAGCAGCCCACAGCTGGTCTAAACACTCCCAGGGGCTCCCCCAACAATGGGCCCCTCAACTTCTCACAGTGTGTAAAACACAATGCTGGGCATGTTAGGGGGATAAGAGATGTGGGGTGAGCCAATGAGCCCAAATTCTGTGCATTCAGCCAATCATTTACTGATCATTTATTGTGTGCCTGGCTCCCTGCTAGGCATCAGGGAATGGAAAAGTGAACAAGGCAGGTGTGTCTTCCCCATGGAGTATAGATAACCCATATTCTAGAATGTGCTGAGGATTAGCTTCAGCCATCCCTTTCCCACCTGCTCCAACATCTGAAGGCGTGTTGGCCATTGCTGTGTGTTCAGGGAATGCAGACCCGTGGACAACAGTAGCTGAGCTAAAGGTTCTTCAGTAGACTGAGTAGAATCATCACTCTACGCTGTGTCCTGCATCAGTTCTAGACCTCATGTGTTTAGGATGCACCAGAGATCATGCACACTGACCTGCTCAGGGTCCATCCCTACAGGATTTAACCCCCTCCTGGGTGCCCTCAAGGTGTTCATGGTCTAAGGGGCTGAGAGGGCAGGACGCTGGCTGACTCTCAGGAGCAGTCCGCTCTAGCTGTGGAGGAGGAACTGGTGGACGGCCTTGTCCATTCTCTCCCTGCCTGTCTTCTGGCTCAGGAAGGGATGGGCGAGGAGGAAGAAGAGTTACAGAGGAGGAAAGTCCCCAGGCTGGACATGCCATTCCTGGCCCCGAGGTGATATCCAGTCACTTACCACAACAGCCCAAGTCTGACCCCTCAGGGTGGATACTGGCTGAGGCTGGATCAGTGTCCTGGGGGGTGGGGGTGGGGTCACATCCAGGAGTCTGGCATTCCCCTTTTAATTGATAAATAGTGGGATAAGTCAGGAGTCTCAGAGGAGGATCTGAAGCTGCCGGGGCAGCAAGGGATGTGGTACTGTTGGGGAGTCTGAACAATGGTTCTTCACCTTTGGAACAGAAGTATTTTAATACTTGCCTTAAATATTTCAGCAGCTAGTATGACCGTGTCAGTGCGTGCCAGCTTGCCAGCCCTGCTACCAGCCACAGTGCTCATACAATCACATCAAATCCAATTTAAAACCACATATTTTATTGATGTTCTTCGTCAGTGACACAGAGCCGTGTTGAACAAATGCCGCTCCAGTCCCATATCTGCAAGCTGCCATCTGCCACGAGCTAACCTTGCCTCCCTATGCCCAGCATCAGTGCAGAGCCTCCACAAGGCTCCCAAAGTGAACTATGGAGTCAGGACAGAAGGCCTGGATCGCTCAGGCCTTCGCCAAACTCCCCTTTGGCTACTTATGTGGGGCCAGCTCTGGTGGCGAGATCTCCCCCCATGGCGCCTTCACCTGGGCAACTTGGGCTTCCCTTTCAGTCATCTCTGCTACATCCTTTCTTTCCTCCAAGAGAACCAAGCTGCCGGCCTAGAAGGCCGAGTGACCACCAGGGGGAGTCAGTGCCCGGGGGCTGTGATAAGATTCCTGGAAGGAAGTATCTTTTTGTCTTGCTCACCACAGCATACCAATACCTGGAAGAGACTTAGCACGTAGGTGGCGCTTAAGAAATGTATATGGGATGCATGAGTGAGCAGATACAGAGGGAGAAGTAGGAGGGGTGGAGCCATCACCGTACTGGTCCTTCAAAGGGGGGTGAAGGATGGACCCAGGTAAAGTTCCTCTAAAGCTTAAGAATTCAGGGTGTTGCTTGGTGACAGGTGGGGTCGCCGTGACCACCAGCTACATACTTAGGCTGTGGGCATCTGTCCTGGCACTTACATGGACAACAGAGTGCACTTGGGACCCAGCCAGGAGGGCGCTCTGGTAGCCTGCCCTCCCTCACAGACACTAGGGGCTATGTTCCTGCAGCGCCTAGAAACCAGTCGGCCAGAGGAGCAGGTTGTTCTGGCAATTGCACCCCTGTATTCGGATGCCCCCAGTCTCAACTCCCTCAGTCTCACCCCAGAGCAGAGCGTGATCGCCCAGCTTTGCCACCCACCACTGTCTCCATCTGCCCCTAACACTGCTCCATCTCCCTGCCCATAAGTGCCAACACCCTCAACAAGTGTTCACATTCAGGTAGTGCTGGCTCTCCAGAGATTCTATCCTCAGTGACTGGGGACTATGATGAACTTTTGCATTGTAATTTTCAGACCCCTCCATTTTTGTCCTACTCTCCATGTAAGTATCTCTATGGCTCTCGCCTCTGGACCTGACAATCATGAGAGTGACACTAGAATCTTGGGGAAGGGAGGGATCTTCCCTCCATGGCCCTATGTAGAGCTTGGTCAGTTGGCCAGAAGGCTGCTGATTTCCTGTGAGGACGGGACACTAACTGCATCCCAAGCACTCATTCAAGTGCTGAGCAACTTTAACTGCTAGAATGTCCTTTATACGGGGCAGAAATGAACCCATTTTCCTCTCTCATTCTCATTCTTCAAATATCCCAGTGCATCCTGCACTTTTTCTCTATTTTCATAACATCGCTCCTCAAGCCCTCCCCCCACCCCTTCCTATACAGTTATACAGTCACTTGCCTCTCTCATTACTGGTATCTCTCCTGTCCTTCCCCCTCCTTCCTGTCTTCCCAGCACCTAGCGAAGACCAGAGTTGGAGACCAAGGGAAAGGCAGAGAAAGAAAGTGGCTAGTCAGGCCCTGGGAGGCCCAGCTGGGGCAAACAATGCAGTTGGAAGCCGTAGGCCACTGACCTAGGCCTCATAGAGAAGGGCCTTGTGACTTAGGGGCTGGGGTGGTGATGAACAGCATCTCTCCCATTGCTCACAATCCCACAGAAGGGACCAGAACTCCTTCCCTCCTTCCTACCTTCCCTAGCAGTTGGCAGAGCTGACTTGGCTGCCTCCTTAAATATCTTATCAGGCTCCGCTCCTGGGCAACATCACCCCAGCAGCAAGAATCCACTCCTCCCTCCCAAGGTGAGGCAGAGAGGAAGAGCGCTAGTAGATAGTTGCGATAATGTTGAGTGACTGTGGGGAGCAAGAGGAGGAAGGCAGGGACCCCAAGACAAGAAACGAAAGCAGAGGCCTCCGAACAGCCGCCACCCAGCTGGCTTGTGGCCCTGCAATGCCAGGCTGGCCATGTTTCCTCCTTGCCATGATCCATCCACCAATTCCTCTCTCTGTGTCACAGGCCAGGGGTGGATGCTAGGACCTCACCAGTCTAAGGTTTTAGTGGATCACGAGTGGTGACAAGGGTGCAGTGGGCCTTATGTTCAGGCGGTATCACAATACACACAGAGAGACAGTGGGGTGCCTGCTATTTGTCCCGCTGCTTGGAGCTCTCACCTCCAACATTGAACATCGGCACCAGCAGGCCCAGCAGCCACCGCTTCCCGAAGACCTCCTGTAAGTTCTTGCGCCAGGGCCGGGCCCTCACGGCCACCCCCTTCCGCACCTGGTGGCGGGTCTGCCCCCGGAGGATCAACAGCAGCTGATGGCAGCAGAAGCCAGCGCAGGCCAGGCCAATGGCAAACCAGAGGTAGAGCATGAGGATGACGAACATTTCAGAACCGAGGACAGCTCCTGCAGGGGGTTGGGGGCAGGGAGAACACCAGAATCGCTTTACACCCAAGCCACGTACAGAACTTCGATCCAGGCAGACGCTTTCCACTAGGGAGGGAGGGAGACTAATGAGATTGAAGATGGGTTTTGTAGCAATCCCAGCACTGCAGCCAGGGAGAGGAAGGGCGAACTAGTTGCTTTAACTTTTTCTTAGTGCTGGTGACTCCTGAGAGGAGAAGGGGGAGCTGGAGGTGTGGGAGAGAAAGGAAGGAAACTTCCTTGGCCAACACTTAGGTGCTAACTTCTTCTTGGAGTCAGATTTGCCCAACTCCCTGCTTTCTTTTTCAGGGCTGGAACCAGGGAGAAGGAGTTTTCTCAGGGAGAGGAGGGTGAGCTGAGGTTCCTAAAGGGGACCTTGTGCCCAGGCAGCTGTCTAGGCAGCAGCACCTTCTCTTTCTGCAACTGGGATCACTGGCAAGGGAGAGTCAGGAAAGTGACAGCTTGATGGAGAGCAAGGCCTCCTCATCAAGAAGTCATGAGCTCCCACGGCAGTGCAGAGTGCAACTTAGGGGAAAAAGTTAGTCGTTCAAGTTAACAAGAGGACAGTGTGGCCACCCAGACATTAGGCCAGAGTTGTTCCATTAGCCAGAGCTTGGTGAGACTAGAAGAAGTCTATCAGCCTAGTCCCCTGCCTTGGGGCAGGGCCTCCCTGGATCCTCCCCACAACTGGTTTTACTCTACACAGACATTATCACTCTGGTCCTTTGCTTTAGTTAATGTGGAAGTAACTCTCCATGGAGTAAGAGATCCCTCACTCTTCTTCGGATTGGGGGTCAGTCCCAATCTGAATTGTTTTTGAATCTCTCAGCTATATGGACTTGCACATGCTTCTTACCTCTGAACTGCTGTTTCCTCATCTGTAAAATGGGGACAGTAACAATGATTCCATAAGGTGTCATGACTCAAGGAAGTTGTGAAGTGGCCAGAATTCTGGTTTACAGCCAGCAGTGTTCCCTGTAGAAGGTTCTTTCATAGAGTGGTGAGGCTACATCCCCAAAGAATTTACATTGCTTTCCTAAGACCATCAAGCTTTCTCCTGCTCCTTTCCTAGGCTCAGAGTCCTGATTAGGCTACAACTTTTGCAGCCTTCTAGAAACACCTACTTTCACTTGTCTGGAAGTAGCCCTAAGGGGCACCCCCTTCAACTGCTCTGCAGGCCAGCCCACCACCACCTTCTCCAGCAACATGAGGTTCCGGCTCCAGAGACCTCCCTGCCTCCTAACCTAGTCCCCTCTGCCAGTCTCTACCACATCCCTCCTTTATCACAGCATCCCCAGTCTCAACCCACCTCTTCCTTCATCTCCCCAGACTCCAACTTCCACCTCCCTGAAGGCTGTTTTTTTTTTTTTAACTTATTCAGTCTGAGCAATGGTGGACTCAGCACTCAAGAGGATGCAGACTTGACCAGATTTGCTCTTTAGCAATAACCCTTCTCTTATTCTCTGCCCAAGGAGCTTTGATAGCAGGTTTTTCTTTGCAGAGTTGAAGACAAGTGAGCCCAGCTGACCGGGAGAGGGAAGGCTGGCTCCACTTGGCATTCAGACCACCCCTCTGCTGGCACACGGGCAGCAGTGGAACAGGCCCCTCTGACCCACTTCTTCCTCATCAACGCAGGTTAGCTCAGTCAGCCACATGTGGGAGGAAGGATGCTGGGACCACGGTCCCCTACGGGCTGAAGGAAGGCTGACAGGCAAAGATGGCCCCGAGCTAGGAGAGAACATCAGAGCTATCAGGCTTAGGCCTGCCTTGCAACTCAGCCCCAGGGACATGGCTGGCTGGATGAAGACTGCTTTCCACAGACTTTTTTTGGCACTAAATCAAGGTGTGAGGAGGACCTCATGGCCCTTCCCTGGCTCCATGCAGCAGCCACAAAAGCCTATTCTGGGGACCTTCTTTCTCTGGACGTGTTTGAAGTTGCTTAGCCTCAGCTCCTCTGATCTATTTAATAATAGTTCTGCTTCTTTTAGAAAATCACAGAGTTTTCCTAGAGGGACAGAAAGGTTACAGCATCCAATGGCTCCACCCCTGCTTCCCACCAAGCATCTATAACATCTTTTCAAATCATTAGCCAGCATTGTTAATAGCCATTCAGGGCCAACCAGGAGGCCCTCTCTCTCCCAAAGGGACTCAGTATCAAGAAACGGCCTCAGAGAGGCAGTGTGGGGGAATGCAAAGAGTGCGCTCTGGGGGCCAACAGCCCTCTATCCAAATCTTGGGTTGGAATCAGATATGCTAGTTAGAGGATACTGACACAGCTTAACTTGGCTGAATATTTGGATCCTGAGCCTTTAAAATGATAATGCTAACAGGCACTCCACCGAAGGGTCAGGGATGGGGTGAAATAAGGCCTGCCCATAATAGGTGCTCAACAAACATTAGTCTCCTTTCCCTTCTGGTGGATTTGCCAGTCACCTCTACCAGGCTGGCATATTTACCCATAAGGCATGATACAGGTCACGTGGTGTCATCTTCATTTCCCAGACAAAACGGAGGTTCAGAAAGTTGATACCCCTGTACTGGACCCATGAAGCCAAAAGCAATCTAACTGGCCAGCCCCTCATCTTTTTGTCACTCACAGGACCCAGACTCACTGCTGTCCTGTGTGCTGGGGGCATAGCTGACTCAGGGGCGGTGTTGCCATTGGGAACAGCTCAATCTACTCAACATCTCAGGCTTTTTTAACCCTGTTGACCTGCGCCCGTGAGACAATGAGAGAGAGTGCATGCAACCATTTGGGTTGAGGGCATGGGAAACAGGGATCAAAAGAGAAGCTGCCCAGATGGGGAGTCTGTGTGAGGGGAGGGTGGTCTGGTAAGGGGGAAGGATGAAAGGTTGGCAAAGGAGGGGGATGGGATGGGAAAGCTGGAGATTAGAAGTCTCAGCCTCCTTTTCCTGGTGTTAGGGAGCAAAAGATAGTGGGTCCCTGGAGGACCTGGCTCAGTTCTCCCCTAAGATCATTTCTTCCCTAGTTCCTGAACCTAGCACAAGCCCAGATTTATCTCAAATCAAATCGTTTCAAGATTCTCTCTTTGGAACCATCCATTTTTATGTGATAAAGCTACTTGGAAAAGAAAGTGTAATCAAACTCTCTGGCTCTTCTCATCCCTGCACCTGCCGGTGCTCACACACCACTCCCCAGCCCGCCCACCTAGCCTCCCCCATTCTGGTTATTTCTGTCCCAGCATCCTCCTGTGCCAGCACCAGGATCCAGAAGACCTGGACTCTGAGTTCTGGGCCCAGCTCAGCCACCAGCCCTCAAGGCAACACCCATAACTGGGTCCACCTTGGGGCTCTGTGTTCTCACTGTCAACAGCACAACAGTCCATTCCTAGGAAGAACCACACTATGATCCCCAACAAAGACCACATGAAGGCTTCTCCCCAAGTGGAGCTACTTTTTTTTTTTTTTTATATATATATATATATATTTTTTTTTTTCCAAGTGGAGCTACTTTTTAGGAATGTCTAGCCCCAGCACAAGTCAGTCCTGGGCCCTCTGAAGAAGCAGGAGCATTCTGCCTTTATTGTCCCTGAAAGGTTAATGGATGCGGACACACCCTCTACCCTGCCCAGCTGTGGATGTCTAAAGACCAGGGAGATCAGAGGCTGTCACTCAAGAGTAGTAAGATCCTAGGCAAGCCATTTTATCCCACCTGAGCCTCAGTTTCTTCATCTGCAAAATGGCAACAACATCATACACATGTGTGTGTGTTCTACTCATTTAAGAACCAAATCAGGGCCTCCCTGATGGTGCAAGGGTTAAAGACAGTGCTATCAAAACATAACCAGCCACTATAGCACAAGTTTTATCCCAGGCTGGCCAGAGAGCTCGCCTACATGGCGCAGCAGACCTCTCCTGTCTCACCACTGCACTCCTCAGTAGTGTATTTCAGTCAATCTACTTGTTCTGTTCCCCACTCCGTCTCTGGTGAATCCTCTCACCTACCACCCCTCTGGTCTGCACCTCAATTCTTGTATGCATAAATAAACCTTAAAAAAAAAAAGAACCAATCAGTCAGAGTCAGAGGCCACTTCCAGATGGAGTGGAAGGGAGTAAGTTAGGGGCAAATGTCAAGTCCAGGTAGAATAATAAGACCTGCCACCAAGGCCAAGTCCAGTCAGGTCCCTCTGTGTACCAGGGAACTGTCTTAGAGACATAATAGCAAATCTAGCTTTTGCCAGAGTGGCCAGCTGAGCCCAATAGGAAGGACCAAGGGCCTGACCCCTGCAGATGTCAGGCTCTGATAGAGGGAGCAGCCCTGTGGTGTGGAGATGGAACGATTGACACAACAGGGTCTCTGGGATGCCCCCTGCTTGAAGCGCCTTAAGATTAGAGAACACATGGTGGGTTCAGAGTGAGTAGAAAGTGGGGCCTCCTGCTGAGGCTGGCTGGCCGGCACCCTGGTCAACCTCACTGTGGTTGGTTGGCAAGAAGACCCTGGAGGGCAAAGTCTTGGGTAGGGGAAGGGTTGCAGGCAGAGAAAAGTCACAGCTGCATGAGAGGTAGCTAGTCCCAGCCCACATGGCACAGTTAAAGTGTATTGCCTGGATGGCCACAATTCTATGAACGAATGGTCAGGGGAAAGCAAGAAGGAGACAGCAGGGGAGGAGTTTGCCAGATAAAATACAACGTGTCTAGTTAACAGTCGACAGAAATAACAATAAATGCTTTTGGTAAGTATGTCCCTGCGAGATGTAGGACATACTTATACGAAAAGGTTATGCATTGTTTGTCTGAAATGCTAAGTTAGCTGGACATTGTGCATTTGTTAAATATTGTTAAATCTGGCAAACTTGGGGTTAGGGTTGAGGTGGGGTCTTTATATAGCACCCAACCTGCCTGCCAAGGCCCACTCACCAGAGAAGAACTGGCTGATGGAGGTGGGAAGGAGCGTGAGGAAGGCCAGGGGGTGGGAGAAGGAGATGGAAAGGACGGCAGAGATGTAGGCCACGCCGGCCACCATGGAGTAGAGGCAGGCGAGGGAAGTGTAGAGGCAGAACAGGACAAAGTTGCGCATGTTTCTGCTGCCGATACAGTTGCCGGTGAAGAAACAGTGATGGTCGTGCCTCAGGGTGACTCTGGCGCACACTCGGCAGAAGTGGGTGCTGGGCGGGGGGCACGGAGCCCTCCTGGCCGAGGTCCCCTGGCAGGCATCCAGGTCGTCTGGGGAGTTCTGGATGACCAGGACATAATTGCCCAGGGCATTGGTTGAGAGGAACAGGAAGAGAGCCCCGTGGAGCAGCGCGGGTGAGAAGAGTGGGGTGGCCGAGGGGTCCTCACGCATGCTGGGCAGGAAGAGAAAGAGCTGCAGCCCGAAGGTCACCAGGGAGATGCACAGGAAGTAGGCGGGGGCCACCACGTTGAGGAGCCGCAGGGCCAACATCCTCGATTACATTCCTAAGGGGCCCAGGGTGAGAGGAAGACTTACTGCAGTGCGTGGGGGGCACCCTAGGGTGCTCTCACCCCACACCCCACACCCTGCCTGTCCGTCCTGCTCCAAGCATATTCATGCACCCTCAACCCTCTCCCTCAGCTCTGTGCTCTCCTTTTCTCTAACCCAGGACCAAGCAGGCAGTGAGAGCCTGAGACCACGGTGGTCTTAGGGGAACAGACCCCTCCTCCAGGTACCTGTTCCCTCGGTTTTTGAGGACTTTGGTGCACTGGTGCCTTAGAAGTCAGACACAAGGAAGATGGGGTTCCTTCGTTGTAGGGGATGGGGGAGCCAGGGGCTAAGGCGTGTTTATGGCGATGGAAATGAACCCAGGTTTGAGATTTATAGTTCAGATCTCCTAGGTGGAGGAAGAAAAGGATTTGGGGCCAGGGGCAGAGAGCAATGACCTACTGGAGGTCCTACTTCTCCCCTCTTTCTCCTCCCCCTGTCCCCTCTGCATCCTACCCCTAGTCTTGGGTGATACTCAGAGACCCAAAGCTCTTTGATTCATGGTGTGTGTTCATGGTGCCAGGGAAGGGGGGGAGGGGGAAGAAGTGGTGATGGGGGGTGGTTCTGTGGTGTCTTCTTTGTATGTGTGATGGATGTATGCTTGGGAATGTGTGTGTGTGTGTGTGTGTATCTGTGTGTACAAATGCAGCCACTGCCACCTAGCTTTAAAAAAAATAATCAATAGAAACAATCGATACATCCCCACACACGCGCTCAAGCACCAGGACGCAGCCAGAATACCTGTGTCAGCCGGTCCTGGTCATTCCATCTCTCCGACTCCGACAGCTCTGGCTATTTCCTTGCAAAGAGCGTTTTCATTTGAGGCGATGAAATTACCCACCCCCTTTCGCGCCAGCCTCCCGCCCTCCTGGATGGAGAAACCCAAACAACCCCCATGGCGCCCAAACCCTTTCCATGCCGGCAAGGTGGTCCTGGGCTCAGTAGTGGACCCTTTTGGT